TGAATATCTAGATCCTTCTGTAGGTACTGAGCCTTTGTGAAAATTCTGGCCTGTGCAATAGGAATATTTGTTTTCTACTGGCTAAGTTTGCTATTGGCTTTTGATTTTTCAGATAGTCAGATGCCACTCTTATGGCTTGTTTTGGAGTATTGCCTGGTAGACCATATCTGGTGCTGTGAGCTAGCTTTGGAAAAGCCCTGCATGGTTAATGGTTTGTGCCCAATTTCTAGCTCTCTTGAGGATTAGTTTTGGTGAGGAAAGGTGTTTGCATAAATCCTATGCATCCTCTACTTGAGGGAGGCAGTATCTGACTCAGGATTTCCATCAGCTACACATCTATGCCTTCAGCTGCTTTTCTGAGTCAGTTGGTGTTGCTTAGGCTTGCAGCTGCAGAGGATGATCACGGCCAGATAACCTGTTCTGCAGCTGTGTTTTAGGATGTTTGTAAGCTTTGTTTGCCATACCAAAACCAGGGTGAATTCCAAGCCCCATTAAGCTCCATTGGGGTTTTGCCAAATGACTCCAGCAGAGTCAAAGTTTTATTCTTTAATACTTGAATGGTGTTCAGTCCTGGACTAAGCTTTTTCCTACAGAAGCCTGGGAAAGTACTGAAAGAGGGTAAAGATCATACCAGACTCTTAGAGATTCAGGATATAGGGAAGAAAGCTCTGACAGAGTTTTGCTTATTTAGTAACATTCTCTTACTTATTTTTGTGCTTAGTTTTATCTTCACTTGAGGTGTTTGTTTAATGGGAGGATGGCGAGTTCCAAATGGAATGGCTGCAGTTGGACAGTAGGATCTGGGATAGAAAAAGAATCCAAGTACAGTGTGTCTGGCTTTTTCATCTCCTAGAATAACACTAGGTTCAAGAGGCAAAGTCTTGGTACCTTGAGTAACCTAGGGTGTGGGGTCTCACCTCTGGAATTATTTTTCCTGCAAGGTGGGAGGGAATCTGGGGGATGTCCTTCTGGTCCATCATCTCAGCGCATTGTACTGAGTCAGTGGCTGAACTTGGAGCAGATGCTGGAGCCTGTGCTGGTGCCACAGGATCTGCATGCAGGGTGTTAATGTTTTCTCATTCTTCTGCCTTGCACTTTTGTCCCCATTCACCCCTCTTAAAGGCTGGATGTTTTCCCATTCTTGATTAAAGGATTTGATTTGAATCATTTCCCAGGAACTTTTCCATAAGGACATGGGATTATTTGATCTGCTGTTGGTGGAGAGGCATGAATCAGGAGCTGCTACACAAGCTGCAGCTGTATCCACATTTCAGGCCAGACTCTTCCCAGTGTAAACCAGCATAGCTTGCCTGACTTCAGTGGTATTAATTGATATTTACACCAACTGGGGAATCTGGCTTGGCAAGTTTTGCTCCTCATGCCTCCCTTACGTGTTGATTTTGCTCAGGTCTCCCAAACTCTAGAGGGCAGTGACTCAAGAGGTAGGTTCTGTTTCTTGACTAATTTCCATTGCTCATGAAAATCAGAACCTAGCTGGCCCTACCCAGGTGCAGGGGAGGTTTCCCATCTTCTCAGTCCTGCAGTAGCATCTCCTGCTCTGCATCAACCCTTTCTGTTCTAGTCCAATGACTGCCAACCCAGTCTGCAAACCAACCTTGGCCCTCACCTGCCCCACCTCCTCTGGTTCCTACCTTGGGACTTTCCAAAATTGGAATGGTCGATCACAACTGTCTGCATGGGCATATGTGAGCAACATGCACCCCACCCTAAGATCAGAGGCCCAACAGGCATTGTTTGTTTGTAACCAAAGATAAACTTAACACCAGGGCATGTAGAGCATGTTGGCTAGTGTATTTCTTTACTATATCGCACCAGCTGCTTCCTTTTTATATATATGAAGTAGGAAGGTTTATGCAGAATTAAAGTGGAGTCCAACAGTAGTGACTAGAGTAGAAAATGGACATGTGTGTATACCAGATACTAATTAATGAGACCCTTAATACCAAATATTCACTTTTCCTGGCTACTTTGTTTTCTGAGAGTTTTGTTTTCAACTTTGCTCTTCAATGAGTTTTTTGCCTCTGTATTCCTGAACATGGATCAGGACAAATCTCCCACTTGGATCATAGACAGGCACAAAAAGGGAGACCAGCCCACCAACTGTTACTGCTGACTTAGTGAAGGGACAATTGGAGGGACTGGATGTGTTTAAGTCAGCAGGCCTGGATGATCTTCATCCAAGGGCACTGAAGGAATTGGCCAGTGTCATAGCAGAGCCACTGGCATGGCTGTTTGAGCACTCTTGGGGCTCATGGCAGGGCCCAGGGGACTGGAAAAGGGCCAATATGGTCCCTATTTTCAAGAAGGGGAGGAAGACCAGACGGGTAACTGTAGACTAGTTAGTCTCCCCTCTATCCTCAGGAAAACCTTTGAAAAAATTATTAAGGATCACATTTGTGGGAGTCCAGTGGGAAAAACAGTGCTGAAGGGCAACCAGCATGGATTTGTAGCGGGTAGATTCTGCCTGACTAAACTTGTTTCATTTTATGACCAGGTCACAAAATGCTTAGACATAGGAATTGAGGTAGAGGTGATCTACTTAAATTTTAAGAAGGCCTTTGATAAGGTATCTCATCTATTTGCACAGATAAACTGAGCAGCTGTGATGTAGATGATTACATGGTCAGGTGGGTGGCAAATTGCCTTAGGGGGTCACACCCAGAGAGTGGTGGTGGATGGGTCAGTATTGACCTGGAAAGATGTGGGCAGCGGAGTCCCGCGAAGCTCGGTCTTTGGACCTGTGCTGTTCAATATCTTCATCAGTGACTTGGATGAGGGTGTGGAGAGCACTCTCTCCAAATTTGCAGATGATACCAAATTATGGGGTAAAGTTAACACGCTAGAGGGTAGGGAACAAATCCAGGTGGATCTGGACAGGATGGAAAAGTGGGCAGAACAGAATAGGATGCAGTTCAATAAGGACAAGTGCAGCACATTTACAGGCTGGGGGATGACTTCAGCAGCACAGCAGTGGAAAGGGATCTTGGAATCATTGTTGACACCAAGATGAACGTGAGTTGTCGATGTGACGAAGCGATCAGTAAAGCTAACTGCACTTTATCATGCATTAGCAGGTGCATGACAAACAGGTCTAGGGAGGTGATACTTCCCCTTTATGTGGCCGTGGTCAGGCTGCAGTTGGAGTACTGCGTCCAGTTTTGGGCGCAACACTTCAAGAGGGATGTGGACAACCTTGAGAGGGTTCAGAGGAAGGCCACTCGTATGGTTAGGGGCCTGCAAGTAAAGCCCTAGGAGGAGAGATTGAGGGCTGAGGTGATCTTGTGGCTGCCTATAAAATCGGGGGGTGGGGGGCAGCAAGAAATAAGAGATTCTCTGTTTACCAGGGCACCCCTTGGAGTAACTAGGAACAACGGTCGCAAACTGACGGAGAGCCTTTTTACGGCGAGGGTTGCCAGAATCTGGAATGGGCTTCCAAGGGAGGTGGGGCTCTCCCCTACACTGGGGGTCTTTAAGAGGAGGTGGACATGCACCTGGATGGACTAGTCTGACCCCAGCATTCTTTCCTGCCTAGGGCAAGGGGTTGGACTCTGCTAAGGTCCCTTCGGACCCAAACATCTATGAATCTGTGAAACTGAAGATCTTAAAATGCTCGTCAAGTGCATTGAGCTGGAAGCTCTAAATAGAGTGAATGTAGGATACCTTATGAAAATAATTTTCCCCTCTACCTACTCAGTTTTTAAGAAGCTACTACAGTGGTCACTGCCAGTTAGGAAGAAAGCTGTAATGGCATTTATAGGTTAATAAGGAAACTTTTCTTTTTTAAATGTCAATTTGTACATAAAGGGTCAAACGTGGGACTCTGTATATCTGTAGCAAGTTGGCCCTGAAATTCACCTGCTGTATAACCTTCTATCCAGCATGTTAATTCATAGCTCATGGAGCTAGTGAGGAAGGATCTGTTCCAGGGAGCCTTTCCCTCAAGGGAATGATGGCAAATGACAACTTTTGTCCTGATGCTAACTGTGGAAAATAGGGCCTTTCCTGTGAGGGAGTGTTGAAAAGTTCATGAAAGTCCTGAGCTACTTTGCTTTAGGCTGAACAAAAACTTCACAGAGAAGTAGAGTTACAAGAGTTACAAGATTCCACTTGTGAGGAAACTGAAGCGATAATGCATGGCTGAGTGGGGGAATCATACCTGACCCTGGTGTATTTTAAGGATGGAGGGTCTGTGATGACCACACTTCATGATGTCCTTTTAATAAGTCAGTGGCTATGTCATGTTCCTGCATAATTATATCTTCCCCACGTAGGCATCTAACTCTTTTAGAGAATGGCTAAGTGGTGAAAAGACAGACCTAGGTTCTCTTTCCAATTCTGCCGCTTATTCATTGCATCACTTGGGCAACTCTCTTACTATATTTACATGTATAAAACATGTACATTTTCCCCATAAGAATAGCTTTCTAATATTAGGGTGCATGTTTTAAGTGAAGAAGCTGATTTCTGTCCTGGAATGGAGGCATAGGGACATTGGAATGGCTGCCAGGAGCTGCATCCCACTAGCTGCATGGAGGAGATGCAGAGTTTGCTGTTCAGCCAAAATGTAGAGATTTAACCGTATCACAAGCAGTGCCAAATTGGCAGCAGCTTTTGCCTGAGCAGCCGGAAGCTGCTGCTCATTTGGCAGTGGCTGTTATGGGGTTAAACCTTTAGCTTCTGATGAATAGACTTGCCCTTGCACCAATTGGCTAGAATTCAGTTGCCTGGAAAAAAAAATTTCTCCATTCTGCCTTCCCAAAAGAAGGTTTATACTTATTTTGGGTGGGGGGAGTAAGAAAATATGGTAACTTTATTTTTCATGTGAAATAAGGTGCTAGTTCTCCAAAGCAGGGGAGTTTTTGAGATTGAATTAATCTCTAAAGCACTTTGAATTCTGTGGATAGAAGGCACTATGCAAGTACCAAGCATCAACACAATGAATACCTATTTTATTGATACATTCATGCATATTTCTCTAGGCGTTTCTGTCTCCCTAGCTTTGGATTTCCTATGGCACCATTGAATTCAAGCTCTCTACAATAAAATATGAAGCAAACAAGAACATGTTGCAGGGGAGGCCCTTCAGCTCTGAAGGTATCCAGAGCTATGACAACAGACAGGTACACAATTCAAAGGATGTGCCCTAAGCAGATAAATTTCCTCTAATCCATTGCAATCCTCCCCCAGCTTTTGTCCTCAAGGTGAAAAGCATCCTACTTTCACAGCATCTTAAGCTGAGCAGCATTTAGAGAAGCAGAGCAAATTTGTTGCTGTTGTGTGTGCATGCATGTGGAAGAGGGAGAATTGATAGCTTGTCTCATCAGAAGCTACTGGACATGTATAAGGGTGAGATTGCAGTAGAACGCTTCATGTTTCTCCATTGCTGGATGTTTTCTACTGCCTGCTAGTGCTACTCTACCTTTTATTTCAGGTTGTGTTTTTTTTTAATGCCTTTGGGGAAAAGCTCATTTTCTTTTGATTCCTCAGAGCTGTGTTCACATTTGGATCTCAGCTGGGCTTAGTTACTTGACAGCCAAAAACGAGCCAACTCAAAATGGAACTGAGCTCTGTACAGTAGGAGTAGACAGGCCCCTAGCATTGAAGATATTGAAATCGGCAGGAATTGGGTGCCATAGTTATTTTGGCCCTGATCCAATGCCGCTGAAGTCAAGTAGGAGTCTTGGCCTTGACTTCAAAGGGATTGATGCTTGCCTTGAGCAGTGACATCGTGCCCAGATACAGTGCCCTCAAGGCTTTCTGGTATTATGGTGAACCTCAAGGTCAGATTGTGTGTCATCAAGCCCCTAGAGAAGCAATGTCCTGGTGTGATGCCATCCCATAGGAAACAGTAGGCTGGAAGGTTTCCTATTTGAAATGCTTATGGTTTCCTTCCCCGTTCCCATTACTGTAGCCAGCATCTTGTATCTCAGGGAGGGACAGGGGATCCAGGTCGTGGAAAAGTGCACCTACCTACGTTCTCCTATTTCTGGGGTCCAGCCAACATACAAGACCATTCACTAGGGCCTCACACGTTGGACTACTTTTTTCCTTTGCTGCTTTTCATTTTCACAGCTGTGCCTGTCGCTGAGTTCCACTGGCAGCATGAAATTACCACCCTGAAAGCAGCTCTTGAAGCAGTGCCAGCTGCCCAGAAGCAGGAAGCACCATGAGCCTCACAAGAGAGCCTGTTCTTACTCGCTGTCTAGGCAAATTGATGTTGAGCCTGGAGTGAGAATTTAAAACCATTGCCACTGAAAGCCACATGCCTGCCTGAGACCATTTAGAGCTGTGCTGTGGCAACTGTGCATTGAAACCCTGACGCCTGTCGCACACCCTTTATGCCAAGGGTGTCAAACTAGTTGGGCCTCATAGGCCAGATCCAGATCATAAAGTGTCCTGCAAGCCAGATAACCTGTGAGTGATAGTGGTGGCATTAATCTCCTCACTGTTTTGGTGTGCCTCTGCTGCTTGCCCCTTCTTTTCCCCTGCTGCTGATTTTAGTCACCAGGGATGACTAAAAACCCCAACTGTGGCAGCACATAAGGACTAGGGAGTAAGGGAGGCAAACAGTGTTAACTCCTGAGTTCTGAAGCTGTGGTGAAACAGCAAGGATTAATGCCACCACCACAAGGACTCTGGCAGCTCGTGGCATTGAGTCCTATAGGCCATATCTGGCCCACAGAGATGTGTTGTCCATCCCATGAGAACCCTGAGGCCAGATGATGGAGTCTGCAGGCTGGATCTAGTCCACGGGCTGTATGTTTGACACCCCTGTTATTCTACGGTTACCCTAGAGGAGTTTTCATAAACAATGTGCATGTGTGTGTGCGCACATGTTCTGTAATGCCTCTGTGTGTGTGTGTGTGTGTGTGCGCGCGCGCGCGTGCACGCACGCGTCACACCCAATGTAACACTGTTTTAGGAGTGGACTCACTGGGGGCGCAGGGAGCCTTCCTGCAACCAGAATGGCAATCAAAGCCACTCAAGGAGACTGTCCCATGTATGTGCAAGCTGTTTTATGTATTTATTTATTTACTTGTACTTATTTATTGTATTTATTTATTTATTTATTTGCATTTTATTTAATGTTATGTTTATAAAATGGAGGCCATAGCAAACGCCTGTAGCCACTCTAAATGGTTTTTTTTTTCTTTTCTTTTTTTGTGGGGGAGGTCCTCTTAAAAGGCCTGTGTGGGCTGCATCAAGAGACTCGCACAGAGAGAAGTTTAATTCCTGTACATTGCTTGTTGTCGTAAGTTTGTAACCTACCTCCCATATTTCCTTCACAACATCATTTGAGGAGAAACGAACAAAAAAAAAAAAAAAAGAGTAGATATGCCAGTATAAATTGATATCGTCCTCCTCCCCCTTTGACCTCTTTTTTTTCTAGCATGCTGAAATTCCCTCCCCCTACACATCACTTCCTTCCTCCCCTGACTATTCTCATTCTGTTCTCCATGTCCTCCTATTTGTTTATCAGCCTGATCTTCCTTTTTTATTCCTCCTTGACTCACGCTGTATTGGATGTTGCCAATTTCCGGAGATGATGTTAAAAGCAAGAGTGTGTGGGTGTCACTATGGAGAGAAAAGGAAAGGGGTGGGGGGAAGAACTGGGTATTTCTGCTGCCGCACAGGGAAGATCAGAAGGAAGAGGAGATGAAAGCTGGTTTTGCAGAGTGCCTTAAAAAATGACTTTCACAACTAGGGGGTTCTGATTCTTCTGTCCTTGGATGTTGTTGAAAACTCAAACAAATGTTGCATTTCACTTCTCTGGGATTAAAACAAAAACTGAGTATGTATTGCAAAGAAAAGTGGTGGCTTTTTTTTTCTCCTTGATTGTGTGGGGGTGGGGGTGGGGGTGGTAGTTTGTGCAGGTGTCTCGGGGAACAAGCCATGCAACGGACATTGGGAGAATTCAGGCTGCCTTTGGAAGGAAAATGTGCAGCTTTAAAATCAAGTTGTGTGGAGCCAGAGAAACAAGTGTTCGTGGGCAGAGTGAAGAAGCTTCTTTGGCTTTGCCATGTTTCACTGGTTGGCTTTTGGCTTTGCCTGCCCCAGGCCTCCAGTGGCTCCATTTTTATGCCAGCCCCCAAAGTTCTTTTTGATCCAAACTGCAGAGGCGGGGGGTGTTGCAAAGCATTCTCCTTTTGAGGCTCCATCTCACAAATCCTAATCCCAACCCAGGGTGCGTTTTGGATCCCCATTCTGCTTTATTCAAACCTCTGGGTTCAAAGATGCTGGTGGGTGGGAGGATGGGTTCAAATATGGGTTCTGACTTTGGTCCTCTTGCCTGACTAATGTGGAGTGCTGGTTATTGTCACCTCTTACTTGATTGTACTAATTTGAGTTGTTTCATATTTTCCTGTGATATGCAAGAAGGAAAAGAGGTTCCTACAGGAGAAGCCCTCAGTGTGGCTGCAACATTTGTGAGGAATTTTGTGAATGGAGGTCTCAGTTCAGCAACAGCCTTAAAATGCTTAACTTGAAACATACTTATGACA